TGAAGAATCATCATCCTGACATCAAACTTACGCCCGAAAAAGCAGAAAATCCAAAGGCAAATGAAGAAGCTGACTTAAATTCCAACAAGAGAAAGGCAGTTACAATCTTCAACATGCGATCAAAAAAACAAAGATCCGACATGTTACAATCTACAATTCCAAACTGGGTTCAAGCTTCTTCAAAAATTGACTCTAATTCTGAAAAAGGCCAAAAATTTCACGTCAATTTTTGAAATGATGATTCTTGACCTCCAACCATGGTCTATTGTCAATGATGCTGGATTTTTGAGGCACCATGCTCTTATTGCTCCAAATTACGAAATTGCTAGCGAAAAATACTACAGAAGTTTACTGGATCCGACTTACGAAAAAATTAAAGTTGCTCTCAAGGAAAAGCTGGTTCAATCAGAAGCTGAAAATGTGTCTGTCTGCCTTGATGCATGGTCATCATTTCATCATGGCTATCTGGGAATGACTGTTCACTTTATTTCCAAAGACTGGAACCGTGTCAAATTCTGCATCTCTTGTTCTCCATTTGATGGAAGTCATACTGCAAAAAATATTTTCAAAGAGATCAAAGCAGCAGCAGAGGAATGGGAAATTTCTTCAAAAATTGGAGTTTGCTTAAGAGACAACGCAGCAAATGTAAAAGCAGCCTTCAATGAGCCAAGCTGTAATTATAAGTCAGCTGGATGCCTTAACCACTCCCTTCAACTTGTGATAAAAAAAGACCTATTATCAGATCCTACCAACAACGAACTGATTGAAAAGAGTCGAAAACTTTGTTCTTACGCATCCCATTCTATTGGTTTCTACACTGAACTTTACAGACAGCAAGAAATCCAAATGGATAGAAAAGACAGACTTGGCTTAAAAAACGATGTTGCCACAAGATGGAACTCTACCTATTACATGCTGGAGCGAATTTTACACCTGAAACCAGCCATTGCTGCAACCTTACTCAAATTTCCTTCTGTGGGAATTGAATTTTCCGTCCAAGATTGGAGCCTCTATAAAAAAGTGGTGAGGATTTTAAGTGTTTTTGAGGAGGCAACAAAAATGTTGTCAGGTAGTGATTCTTGTATCAGTTCCTGCATTCCAATTGTGACAACAATAATTAAAGCTTTGGAAACAACCTCCGGCGACGTCAGTGTTCAGAAATTGAAAATAGCTATGAAAAATGCAATGGAAAAACGTTTTTCAGCAATTGAAAAAACAGAACATTATTCAGTTGCTACTTTACTTAATCCAAAATACAAATGGTATTTTTTCCGATCTCAAGCTGCTTTGCAAAATGCCAAACACATTGTCATCACAAATTTCATGAGGCACTAACAAATTCAACTACTAATATTATTATAATGAAGCCTGGCAAAGGTACTAAGCAAGAAAATCTTTACAGTGCGAACAAGCTGATTTTATTTTTACATGCAATGTCTGGATGCAATTCAACATCATTAACGTACAATAAAGGCAAAAAAAAAAAAGCCTTAAAATTGTTGCATAACAATGGATATATGCAAAGTTATTGATTTATTTAACACGTCAGAAGCCAAACACGATGAAATTGTTCAAGCCGAAGAAACATTTTACCTAGCATTATATGGATTGAAAACGAGGTCAATTTCACTTGATAAACATCGTTATTATTAGTGTCTTTGCAGAGTAGCATCAAACCTAGTTAACAAAACATTCGATTTAGCTATATTATCTTCAACAATTTCCGGAGCAAAACAACATTCATTTTGTGTCAATCATCAAGTACAGGAATGGGTCACTCATAACTTGGATCTACTGGAATGGGGTTGGAAAATAATAGCATCAAATCTCTTACCAACATCAAATCTTTAACCACCAACTCCAATTTTTCGCTTCTTGTGAACTGTATGCAATTTTTTTAAAAACTTGCAAACTAGATGCATTAGAAATTGCGAATGTAAAAAAGGTAAATGTAGTCTTATGAATAATAAATATAATGATAAAAGCAATTAAAATAACCCAAAACTTTCTAGCAAATTAATACATTCCTATAGTAATTGGTTTGCAATAGTTGAATATGGCCTTTAATAGTTATTTAGTTGTATTTAATTGTCAATAGTTCAGATGAAGACCCAATACAAACAATTTACAATCAAATTATTAAAGTTTGAGATAATGTAATTATGATAAATTTGTAACATTTTGAAATACGTGTAGTTAAGCTATTGTTCAAAATACGATGTGATATAGTTTAAAGTTTCCGATTTCTTTATTCAATATTTATATACACAACAGCATTTTCTTTCAAGTAAGTTTCTCAAAGACTTTTATAAGCGTAGGTTTTAATTGTATTTAAGTGGTTTGAATTTGTCATCAATGTGGGTCATGCCACGGAGTGGATTTCACAAATTCTGCAAACGTAAATGATGCTAACACATCTGATGAAGATAAAGATTATGACAATGATGCAAATAGAGGTGTCAATTATTCAGATAAAGACCTAATATGCATAATTTATAATCAAATTATTAAAGTTTGAGAGTATAATTATGATAATTTTGTAACAATTTGAATTACGTGTAGTTAACCTATTGTTCAAAATACGATGTAATATTGTTTAAAGTTTCCGGTATTGTGGTTTAACCTCCTCCGGCTAATTGCCATATAGAGGTCACTTTACCAGAAGTCCGCAAAGACTAGTTGAGCTCCCGAAGGAGCGTCGTACCCGCTCTGCGGACTGAGAGTAAGGTGAGCTTGGGAAGAACGAAGATATGTTAGAGTGAAAGATAAAAGTAGTCGAGCTAGAAAGATAGCATAGAGTAAGCGGACATGATTGCACACGATGTTAGAGAGTGCAATACATACTGTTAGTTAGGTCACCTAACTAATGTACGCCGACAAAGTTGTGATTGGAGTTCACATTACATGAGCTCTTCCTCAACTTTCTTTGTCGTCCTATATATAGTTTAAAGTTTCCAATTTCCTTATTTAATATTTGTATACACAATAGCATTTTCTTCCAAGCAAGTTTCTCAAAAACTTTTATTTTGGCCGCAAAAAAAAAATATATATATATATATATATATATATATATATATATATATATATATATATATATATATATATATATATATATATATATATATATATATATATAATATAATATAGGGAAATTTTGACAAATAAAGGCACCAATCAGGATTGCTACCCCGGCGGCGTGACAGCTCTCAGCGGCCCTGTGAACAATTACTAGTAAACAAAGATGTTGCATGTGTAGGAAACAAAAATGTAGCCTTGACTTGAAAAACACAACACTTGATGCACAAATTATACATTATTTTGATCAACAAGATGAGATATTGAACATTTCAATTTTGGCCGCCATCTTGGATTTTGACAACCTTTTTTTTTCTTTTCATAAAACTAAGAAGGTCAGAAATTATTTTTTTGATCTCATAAACAAAATAGTAGACACAAGAATCATGTTTCTTAGTGATCTACAAGCTCAGCTATTACAAACTGTAATTTGGATGCCATCTTGGGCGCCATTATGGATTTTAGATAAAGCTCCACCCCGATTTCGGCCGATTTTTCTCATATAAATCAGGAGTGCATTAAGAACATTCACAGCAATTTTCAGCTTGCTGTTAATTTTTTCCGAGTCAAAACCTTATTTGACTGGCCTTGTAGTAAAAACCTTATTTTACAAAATTTAATTATTTTTTACGATAGCGGAATGTTGTGGTCGGAGGCAATCTTGTTTTTGATTGTTATTGATGCTGTGTTGTGTAATCTTGGTTATGATTTTTACAACGGTTGTAAAGAAATGCATTACTTCTATGTCAAAAATCATAGAGTTTTGGTTAAGCCGTGGTGATAAAAATCTTCACAAATTTTTAATTATTTATTTTAATCAAAATCAAAAATCAAGATCAAAATAAATATTTGAAAATTTTATAAAATAGGCGAGATGATCATGCCTGCAATGAACTTTTGCGATGTTTTGTAATAACCTTGTTTTAAAAACCTTTTTTATTTTTGTAAAACTAAAAAACTTAACTGTTTTCTGTAAAACTAACTGTAAAAACTTTTTTACAGTTTTTTTTTCGACAATCTAACCTCAACTATTTAAATTTTACAACATGACATAAACTCTTAATTAAAATTTATAAGTTTAAATATTTTTTAATATTATTTATAAAAATATATCTTAACATGAAAAGAATTCAGTTTATGAACGTTCTTCATTTCTAAAACAGAAACGAGTACCAAATCCGTTCGTCGAAACATATTTACAAAAAAATTAAAGCTGATTCGATTGAATTGTTTTGCTTGAATAGAAAAACAATGCAACAAAAAAAAAGTGGTGTGATCAAAGAGCATGGTACGATTAGATCTATAAATTAACTTTTTAATGCTACTATAAGCATAGACTTAAAAAAGTGGTGAGATGGTCGCTGGTATTCCGCGTTTATGACTTTTATAAACCAACGCTTATAGATTTTTTGATATTTTTTAAAAGAATAATATTTCAAGGGATTCATTTAATTTTTACTATTTAGTTGAATTTAAAACGGCAAACACGAAGCCCGTTGTTACAAGTTATATTCTTTACGTTTTCGTTATTTTATTAAAACAGATAACTTAATAAAAATGGTCATTCCCTTTGCAAATCGTATTGTACAGAAATAGTTATAGAAAAATAATTTTATTATGGTTTCTATAAGTTCTGTTAACCCAATGGTTGTTTATAAATTTGTAAACTCAAACTTATAAATTTTTAAAAATAATTTTTTTCTAGTTTTTGTTTTGTTTTGACAATACTGTATTTTATATGAGTTTTTGTTGTTGAAATAAAATGTTATAAAGAACACTCACATCAAAATTTACTTAATAGAAACCATGTATAGGAGATGTCACCTAATAGATAACGTGATAGTGAGTTTTTTAGTAAAAAAATAATGTCATTTTTTAAAACGGGGGTTCAACCATAGTATATTTTGAAACTTTTTCTATTTTAGCTAATTAAGTACAAATTTTAGTCTTGTTTTCTCACTTTGAATGGTTGTATTATGGAAATTCAAAGTATTCAAATGTATTTGCCAATATTTTGTATATTGGTTATTCTTGTTAAATTAAAGTTATGTTCGCGACATTTACCCTTTGTTTTTAAAATCGAGAACGCATATTTAAACTCAAACCGTCCCGTCGAATTACCTTCCATTTCGTTGAACTAACTCTCAACTGAGCATATTTCAAGATAGTAAGGTGAGTTTACGTTTATTGACGTTTTAAAACAACCGAATAACTGTTACTCTTGCACCTTTTAAAATCTTTATTTAAGTTTTTTAATCTGTCGATGAATGTGATTTTATTTTTTTAGACGAGATTGTTTTATTTTGAGCCATTTAAAAATTATTTTTATTTTACGTCGTTTGTTCAATTCTAATTTAATACAAATTTTCAAGTATTTATTTTATTTATTATAGTGTCATGGCCAATATTCACATAAACAGCGACAATATTGAATATACATCTGAAAGTATAATCAGTAAATACGTTTATCAAACTACAAGTGTAAATGTTGACAAAAGTCGAATCTCTGTAAAGCCGGTTGATTTTGATGTCACATTCAAAACAAAGAGAAATGTCTCAAAACTTGGTATAATGCTTGTAGGCTGGGGAGGAAATAATGGTAGTACATTTACTGGTGCACATTTAGCAAACAAACATAAGATCTCTTGGATGACAAAATCTGGTGTGAAGGAACCTAACTGGTTTGGCTCAGTGCTTCAATCGTCAACTGTTAGTCTTGGATTTAGTCAAAATGGAGAGATATATGTCCCAATGAGAGACATGCTTCCAATGGTTGATCCAAATGATATAATAATTGATGGTTGGGATATTTCATCATTAAATCTTGCCGAAGCTATGAAACGTGCTGAAGTTTTTGATTATGATCTTCAGAGACAGTTAATTCCTCATATGGAAGGCTTAAAACCAAGAGCTGCAGTTCATCGTCCTGATTTTGTTGCTGCGAATCAGTCTGAACGTGCTGACAATGTTGTTTTGCTTGATCATGCTGCTGACCAAGTAACATCAATAAGAAACGATATCAAAGATTTTAAAAGCAAACATGATGTTGATACTGTTATTGTATTGTGGACAGCAAATACTGAACGTTTTTGTGACATCATACCTGGTATCCATGACACTGCTGAAAATCTAATGAACAGTGTCAAAAGAAACGAAGCTGAGATTTCAACATCAACCATTTATGCAATAGCAAGTATTTTAGAAGGTTGCTCATACATCAATGGATCTCCTCAAAATACTTTTGTACCAGGTGTTATTGAACTTGCTGAGCAGTACAATGTCTTTTTAGGAGGTGATGACTTTAAATCAGGACAAACAAAAATAAAATCAGTCCTTGTTGATTTTTTGGTTAGTGCTGGAATTAAACCAGTGTCTATTGTCAGCTACAACCATCTTGGAAACAATGATGGTAAAAATTTGTCTGCTCCCAAACAGTTTCGATCAAAGGAAATATCCAAAAGCAATGTTGTAGATGACATGGTTGAATCAAATGATATTCTATATGGAAAAGATGAAAAGCCAGATCATGTTGTTGTTATCAAGTATGTCCCAGCTGTTGGGGATAGCAAACGTGCAATGGATGAATATATATCTGAGATCTTGATGCATGGTACAAATACACTTGCAATCCATAATACATGTGAAGATTCATTGTTGGCCACACCAATCATTTTGGACTTGGTTCTCCTCACTGAACTTTGTCAACGTGTTCAAATAAAAGTTGGAACTGATGGTGAATACCAAAACTTTAATACTATTCTGTCATTGTTAAGCTATCTGTTAAAAGCTCCTCTTGTGCCCAAAGATACACCTTTAGTAAATGCTTTGTTTAAACAGAGGGCTGCTATTGAAAATATTATGCGTGCGATGTTATCACTTCCAGCTCAAAATCATATGTTATTAGAGTACAAACTGGCCGATATGAGTGTGTTTCAAAAAGATCTACAAATGAAGAACATTCAAACAATAGAAAAATATAACAGTTGTATGAAAGTACCTAAAAGTAAAATTGAAAATGGACTTTATACAAACGTTTTAAACAGTGCCATTCATTAAGTTCTTTAAAAGTAAACATCTTTATAACTTTCAGGCGTTTTACTATTTTATTTTATTTACATGACTTTTGCTTTTTATTTAACAGGAAATTCTTGTATTTTGTTCTTGCAAAAATACAACAACAACAACAAAACGATATTTTTGTTTATAATTTTATGGCGAATATAATATAATTTAGATAATATATTTGAAATATAGATATATATAAAGAAATAAATGTGAAAGCATGTTATTTATTGTTAAAATAAAGCTAATCGAAATGTTTTTTACATTTTTACTTTTTCTAATTATAAATTTAATAATATTTGAAGTTTTATATCAAAAAAAGGGTGGGGCTGAAAATTTTGTATGTTTAAATATTTTAAAAATTCTTTTAGTTTGCCTCAATTATAGACATGTCTTAACTTATTTCCTTCAAGATTTTTAAAAGGCTTAAAATGTTGAGAAAAAATTATTTTGATTGCAGGCCGAATTTTTAAATGAAAATTGTTATAGTTAGGCTTTAAAACAAATAGTCTTTATTTATAACCAAATAACTGTTAAATAGTCTTTATTTATAACCAAATAACTGTTAAATAGTCTTTATTTATAACCAAATAACTGTTAAATAGTCTTTATTTATAACCAAATAACTGTTAAATAGTCTTTATTTATAACCAAATAACTGTTAAATAGTCTTTATTTATAACCAAATAAACTTTTGACAAGGATAATCGTTTATGAACAATGCAAGTTTTTTGATTACAATTTTTAATGAGATTGCTATTTGTACAAGCGTACATAAAAAAATCTTATTTTGTCCACGAATGTTTAAATCAATTAAAATTATTTACGTCAGTAATATAATTTATTAACATAATGCATTAATATAAGTTATTAATGCAGTGCTGCGAATGTAATATCAATTTAATTTTAAGGCATGGCTTAGGTTGCGAGTTAAAGTCCCTAAAGGGATTTTCTTTAAATTTCATTTTCAATTCTAATTAGATAAAAGGTTTTAACTATTGTTGTTTCTTATCTATAGTTTTTATATTAAAGTTTCATAGAATAAGTGCATCAAAACTTACCTAAACCTACTGATATAGCTCACTTTTATTTTTATTTATTATATTTAGCTCGTTTAAAATGCTAGTTAAAATCACAACAAAGAGAATTCAAATTCCGCGAAAAAACTTTATAAACATCCCTTTTCTTTTATGCGTTTCTTAACTGAATTCTCGAATCCCTTCTTGTCAAGCAACTTTAATTAATTTGGTAATTTATTGTATAATTTTATAGCGTTTCAAAGGATTGACTTTAGTCCACTTTTCTTGTTTTGATCTTTTAAGTGACAATTTGCTGCATTTCTTGTGCAATAATTATGTATTTTACTGTTTTTATACAAAATTCTAGAAAGGTATCCATTAGTTGAGTATTATTATTAATATTCATTAGTTGAGTATTATTATGATCCATAGTTAAATTTTATTGTATATAAAAGTCAATTACTTTCACTTTAGTTAGTTTATTTATTTCGCCGTTAATAATATTCACAATGTGCAACAATATAACAATATATTTCGCCGTTAATAATATTCACAATGTGCAACAATATAAAAAAAGTACAATTGGCTGGAGCAAGAAGAAGGGATAAATTAGCCTTATAACCGAGCCCCAATAGTAACCCAAATAAATACCCTTAATATGTAAGCAACAGCATTTTAAAAAATCTGCTGAATTAAAATCGGTAAGTACTAAATTTAACGTCTTAATTTAGATTTGAATTGCGGAAATGTTTTTTCTTTAATATTAACAATATGTTGAAAGTTTTTCCACAAAATTGGTACCCGGTACTGAATAGAATAAAAACATAACTTTAGATTATGTTTTTGAGTTACAAATTTAATTTCTGAGAACCTGGTGGGGTATTTATGGCTTACTTCTCTAAAATAAGGATAGAATATAATTGGAGACAGTACATGCTTTTTAGACAGTACATGCATTTTATACATGGACTGTATGACGAGGAATATGTTGCTTTCTACATGCATGTTTTTGTTTAGTATGAATTTTCTGTAATTTAGTGTAACTTGTGCTTGCCTATGCAATATTGCCGTAAGTTAAATAACTATGTTAAAAGAAAAATATAAACTTTTTAAAGATCTTATATCTAGAAATGGTTTTGCTTTATACATCATTTCAATGTTTATTGAAAGTTCTCTTTCAAGAGTGCTTATATGTTTCCTCCATGATAAATTTTCATCTAAAGTAACATCTAAGAAGTTTACAGTTGTTTGTGTAGTAATAATTAATAATATAAACTTAGTTTTGTTAACGTTAAGTGAAAATTTATAACAAATAAACCTTTCGTTTACTTTATTTATTTCTTCATTAACTACTTCAAAGAGGATTTAAATATCCCTATGAGAATAAAACAGATTGGAGTCATCTGCAAACAAAATAAAATTTAATAAGTTCGAGGTAAGAGATAGATCATTTATATAAAGAGAAAACAATAACAGTCCTAAGATTTAGCCTTGAGGAATTCCACATTTTATTATACTTTTTGTCGTTTTAACATTTCCATATTGAATGCATTGCTATCTGTTTGATAATTGTTTTTTAAAAAGTATTTTTATTTTTTAAGATATTATTTTTTATTCCATAATATTCAAGTTTTTTTAAAAGAATAACACGATTGACTGTGTCAAAGGCTTTAGAGAGATCAATAAAGACTCCTAATGTAAAACGGTCATCATTGAAGGTATTGGTTACATGAGTTACTAGCTCGGTCAAAGCGTGATCAGTTGAATAATTTTTTTTAAAGCCAAATTGCTTGTTGTACAACATGCTATTTACTGTTAAGTAGCTGTTAAGCCTATTATACATTATACGTTTGAGTAACTTAAAAAAGCTTGAATATTTTCTTTTACAGATAGCCAGTCTAATCTAATCAACATGACTTAACTATGTGTGAACCAATCACATTTCAAGATTGTTCTCATAGCTTTGTTTTGTAACTTTTGTTTTGTAATATAATTATATCATTTATACCTGCATCTAAGCACAATATTCAAAAGATAATGAAGCACTATATATTCAAAACGAGGTGCAATTATTGTATTAAAAATTAATGTTTTTGTCCACCTTGACAGATGCTTAGCGACTCTGGTAAAATACCCAGTAATCTTAGTAATTTTTTTTGAAATAAATTTAATATGTTTCAAATTCAAGTTATTGTCAATTTTAATATCCAGGTATTTGACAATACTCTAGCCATAAATACTATGTTTAAAGATTTTAGTTGTGTACATTATTTATTAAGTATAGAAGTAAGTTTTTGTAACAAAAATATAAAAATAATAATAATAAAAAAATTAAACTAAAAATAATTGGATAATATTAGGCTAATTAATTTAAAGAACGGAATAATAAATGTTCAGTAGTTTAAAAATTAACACGAGAAAACTAGCACACGTTAGCCCGACGTCGGGCCGACGTGTTATATTTGGCTAGAAAATTTACTAAGGCATAACTATGTTGTAAATGTGCATTGTGGTTTTCTGCGCTTTGTTTACTCAATTATTGAGTATATTAAACGCAGAAAACCACAACGCACATTTAAAACATTGCATTTTTTCTACGTTATGCCGACATAATTTTTCTAGCTGATATAAAACACGTTGACCAGACGTCGGGCCAACGTGTTCATGTTATCTGGGATATGGTCAAACAACCAAAAAAATACTTGAAGAAGTTATAGAACTTTTTGATAATCTTTATAAGCCGCAAATGAACATAAATTACGAGACATTTATTTTCCGACAAATGAAACAATTACACGAGGAGTCAACTCACCATTTTTTTATCCGACTTAAAGAACAAGCTAGAAATTGTAATTTTAACAACACTGAATTAGCCATAAAACAACAAATAGAGCTATTAGCAACCATAATCAGAGCTATTAGCAACCATAACCATAAAAAAACTACTCTTTCTAAAACCCAAATAAAAGTCTGACCGAAATTTTAACCATGGCAAAATTGATCTATATATTAAAAAAAAATCATTTTTTTAATATATAGATTATTGAAAAATGGAGAATATACACATTGGGGTGGAGCGAAAACAACTTTTTTTTAGAAATTCATATTTTTTTCCCTGATTTCTATAATAATTATAGGATTTCTATAATAATTATAATATATATATTTTTTAGTTTTCCTATAATTATTATAGAAATCAGGGAGAAAATATGAATTTCTAAAAAAAAGTTGTTTTCACTCCACCCTAATACACATCATTGGAAAGGTTATAGTATAGACTGTTAAAAATAAAAAATTTATTGAAAAAGTTGGTACTACAGTTTTTGCTGTTAAAAATAAAAAATTCATCACAAAAATAGTAAATTTAAACTTTGATAAAAAATTAAAAAATTGTTCCAATAGGTGTCTTTTCCACACTTTGATATTTTTTAGTATAGGCATGAAAGACCAAAGTAAATTTGTTTTCGTGTTGTTAATGAAAAGAGAAAAGCTTTTTTTATTTTGATTTTATGAGTTTATGGTTTTAAAGAACATAATTAATTTAAGAAAGATAATTCTAAAGTGCATTTTTAATTTCCCAGTAATTGACCAAAACCACATAAATTTCTAAATATTATTAAAAAAGTTTCTATTTACTTTGAAAGTTTATTGATGTGAACTAAGACGGAGGAAATCAATTTAATACAATGTGTACAATGTTTTGTTGGCAGGAAAAAGTCCACCCGAGAAAAAGTCCCCCCGGAAAAAATCCTTATAAGAAATAATCCCCCCGAAAAATATTCCCCTTTCCCCAAAATAAAAAGTTTATTTTGTACCTAAAAATTATCAATATAAAGTTATTTTTCTTTATTTATTTTATATATTTATATAAAATACTTCATTTTTCAAGTTATGCGCTATTTCTCGGTTGTCGGTAAAATGCGAACTGCGCACCGCGAGCTGCGAACTGGTAAAATGCGAACTTTTTTGCGAAACAAAACATGTTCTTTTAAAGACCATTATTTTTATGATAAAAATAATAATAATAGCTTAGTTTTAAATAAAAATTTTATTTCTTAACTGTAAAACATGCGCGGAGTGTTGCTACATCGACTATCATTTAGCCTGACTC